TAAAAAGTAACTTTGCATGAATCTCTTAGAGGGCTTTAGTCTACCTGAGATAAACGATCACTGGAAAGCACAAAGCAGGTCACCCTTGGCCAGAAAGTACCTATCTATGTGCTTTGAGAAAATATAGTTGAATGGATCTTACGTGTGAAGCATTTAGCGGCAACTGTGCGATTTCCAGGTCTCCCATTTGGAGGAATAAGGAGAGCTCTCCACACTGCTCCAAATGCCCCTCGCCCAATGACCTCTTGAAGCAGGACACGGTTCCCTTCAATCTCCCATTCATCCACTTCTACATTCACAAGCTCCATCTCAACTGCTTCCCCTTGATTAGGACTAAATTCTATGAAAATCATACAATTTCTAATCATAAATCAAAGTATACGTGATCAAGGAAAAAGAAGTTACGCAAACGTTTTGAGTTTCTTAATTATTTGCCTGGATTCTTCTATTTATGGAAGGATATAATCACTCTAGAGATGAAAAAATAACATTTTCTTGTGCAGAAAAACTAAAGTTGTAGAACTACTCGTTGACATGACAGCAAGATTTAAACCCCAACTTCAATTTTTTTTATAGAAAAAATTCAATTTAATAAATAAAAGGCAAACTAACCGACTTCCAGAGCCATGGCAGCTGCTGTAGGTCCAAATGGCAAATCAAAGAAAGAAGAAAAGAAGGAAAAAAAGTTCACCCTTAATTTGAATATTTAAGTAAATATTTTATGCGCTTTAATCAGTGGTTAATAGAAGATTATAAATCAGATGAATCGCAAGACAAAAAAGCAGTAGAAACATGCCAATTGTGCCTCAAAGGTATTCTTTTTCCTGCAAACCAAGGGTATTAATATTTATCTAATAATGACTTGAGGAGAACAATTGAAATACGAGGTGAAGTAAAAGTAAACATAAACTGGTCCTATGTTTTGCTTCTCACATGGCAATTCTCAGGAAAAACTACCCAAAACAAGATAAGAAGAACGAGCTTTACCTGTCCTTCGACGTTTCCAAAAATAGCAACACATGAGCAAAATGACAATGAGAGCAGCCATTGATCCAAAAATATAATACCACTCTAGGAATGGACTCACAGCTGTTGGTGTAAGTTAAACACATGGTTCTTAGCCAAATAAAAAAAGCAAGTGCATGTGATGATAAGGGAGAGATTGTTACCAAGTATTAACCAGACCCTCTGGATACTACTTTTCGCTAGAGCTTCGCTGGCTCATTAGAAATGGCTACTGTTTTATGGCAGAGATTCAAAGAAAGGTAAATCAGAACTATATGGAGAAGACCTGGCTAGAATGTTGTTTTGAATTGAGAAATGTTTTTGTTAAATGGATTTAGAGAAATTCCCTTCGCCAAATAGCAAACAAACAAACAATGATGATGATACTTATTTGGGCATCTAACAGGCCAGGGGACCCAAATTACAGGCTTAGACCCAATATACAAACACGCATTTACACACTGAAAAAAAACAACAACAAAACAAAAACAAAAAGGCAACAAACAAACAGAAAACAGCAAATAGTATGCTTAAGGGTTAGGGTTAGTTTCAGGTTCCATTTAGTCGAATGATTTATAGCTGTTAAATTTCAGATTGTTTCTACAATAATGCCAGCTTACGGTTGACTTTTATCATCACAATGGAGCGGGCGACATTTCCTAGTCTGTTACGAGCTTCACAAGAATATTCACCACTGTCCTCTTCCACAACCTTTTCAACAACCAGATAACTTGTTGTCTCATCCAATTGCGTATAAATGACTGCCCTTTCTTTTATTGGGTCTCCATCTTTTCTCCAAGTGATATTTACTGTTGCTTCGTTGACGCTGCAAGTTAACCGAAGCTTATCACCTTGAATGAGCGTTGGGTATGGCTCTGGACTCACTTTGGCGGTGGGTTTTTCTGTGTTGAGGGAAAGAGGTAATGTATACATAACTTGGTTTTGGTAAAAAAAAAAGCTTCACTCAAGACACCTTAGTAAGGTAATTATCATAGAATTTAGTGATCCCAAATCAACCCTACAATAGTACATGCGGGATAGAACGTGCCGATTTGAGTGAAATTTGCTTTAAAGGGGTTTCAAAGGGGGTTTGAAATACTTGTCCAACATATTTCTGAAGATTTGCCTAAGTGTCTCGGACCCGATCCAACCGAATTTCCAAGATGCTTCTTCGTAAACCGAGACCCAGCCCTTTGTGTTTTCTTATAGACATATTTCCCCATGCAAATCTACAAATCACTGCATTAATCAAAATCTTTGAGATCAAAATGATCAGAGCGACAATAAAAAAATGTCACAAAGTGATTATATGGAAGAGTCATCATAAACAACTGATAAATGGTGCATGCGCAACGATTATCTTTCCCACAATTCGCTACGGTATTTTCCCAGGTACATCACACTCAAGTTTGTATCTGCACTCTTTGACTCAATTGTCCTGCAGAAATTCCAGGGGTATCAAGACTCCATCTCATTCTTAACAAGCTGTCAGTTCTTTTTGGGGCAACCTTTAGCCACTAGCCACCATTTTCACCACTTATTTTGCGAGGGAGGTATCTTTGATTATTATTGTTACATTGGCTCCATCACCATATTCACTTTAATTGCTATTAAAATTAAGATTATCATCATCCACTTCAGTATTAATATTATCATCATAATCATTATAATTATTGGACCTACCAAATACTTGAAGTGTTATGGAATAACTTATTCTATTTGCTTTGTTTTCTGCTGTACACTTGTACGTTCCTTCCATTTCCTTTGTTATTTTCTGCATTTCCAGAAATGATTCCAGAAATGAGTCTCCCTCATAATTGTTTTGATTAATACCAAATGGAAGTTTACCACCATTAAATGTCCAGGTCAGCTTTGGTGTTGGAACACCTGTGGCACGGCAAGTAAAGTTGACTGGGTCCCCATCAGTGACAGATTGGTTTATCGGAGACAATAGAATCTGAGGAGACACTGAAAATAAAAAGGTCACCACTGATCTTCAATCAAGCTTCACAAGTTACAACTGGACAACCACGGGTCATTTTGCAGTGATAAAATGTGAGACGATTTTTGAGTCTGCTAACTATATGCATTTTCTGAGGTTAGAGATATTACCGGATTACTATAACTGACAATAGATAGGGATATCTCATTTCAAAGGGGTAAGTTAGATCCCTAGATATATTAATAACATAAAAAAAAACTTTAGTCTATTTCAACATAACTAAGGTGAGCGTCCATTCCTTATCTAGATATTCATCTTACAGAGGTATCCGAATCGAAGACAAATTTATAAACAAAGGAATGAAAATAAAAATAAAGAATGTTGAAAAGGCATTTAGTTTTTTCTCCAGTAAAGCTGATTAAAACTACCGAGAGGGTAAAAACCTGTCAAGATGCCAAAGGTAGAAAGAATTTGATTTACCGGTAACATCGATCCAGAAAGAGGTTTTGTCTTTTCCGAACGGATTTTTAGCAGCACATTCATAGAGACCTTCATCATCAAACGTCACACGCTTAATAACTAATGTGTTGTTGTTACCAAGAGATTTTCCATCCTTGGTCCAATTGACTGATACTGGAGGATCAGCCCTTTTAAAACAATCTGTTTCAAATGTGGAGTTCAGTGGGACTGAAAGATTCTTGAGTTCAGGATTTAAATGTGGTGGAACTACAAAAAAAAATTTAATATGAAAGTCACGATGAGATAATATTAACAGATACAGAGCAAATATTGTTATGGCAGATGTTTTGTTTTGGTTCCAACCCATTGCTCCAGCCAATGACTACCAAATAGCAGCCGCTTAATATAACTAAGCTAAGTAATTACAAGTTGGAAGCAAGCGCCACACTTCTCAGTTTACTAAAGACGGATTTGACTACACATTAAATTGGGAGAAAATACTTCCTATTGAACTTGTGAATGATCGCAAACCACTAGCGATTCGTCGCTTATAAATCAAGCTCCGAAAAATCATTACAAACCCTTAACAGCGCTTAAACCCACAGCATTTAATCCAAAGTCAATCGGCAGAAACTAACACAACTGCATGATTTAAAATGCAATTTTAGACCTGAAAACTTACCTTTAACAGAAATATAGATATTTTCAGCGGAAATTCCTCCACGATTTTTTGCTTCACAAGTGTACAGACCTGCGTCTTCCTTTGTTATCTTATTAAAGGAGAGAGACATGTTGTGTCCTTTAAAAGAGTTATTCTTAAGCCAGGTTATCTGTGGCTGGGGCCGACCTTGAATGATTTTACAAGTCAAAGTTACAGTGTCTCCTTCTCTGATTAGATTGCTTGCTCCTGAAACATTAACCTGTGGTCGAACTTTGAATAAACAAGTAAAAAAAATTAAAACAAATCGGCTTTGTTGTACACACATAACATATATACCCTAGAAGGCAATTAACTTTTGGTACATAACTTTCACTATCATCAATCTACAAATTAGACAATGCATTTTAATCAGACTAATTTTAATTACCGGGTGGAAGTCCTTTCTGACGGCTAAAAACAATAAATGATTGGAACACATAAAGTGACCCAACAGAAATGCCTGTCGGCAAAAAATAAAAGACCTTTAAAAAAAAGCCAAAGATTTCTTTAACCTCAATAAATGAAATAAAAAACCTATCTTATCAGCATTATCTACATGCAACTGAACTACTTAAGTGACCAAATTCTTAAGATCAGCCATCGATAGTCGCCTATATCGTTTAGCGTCATCTTTAATACAATTTAGATTACATTTTGTATTATTCATATTTTAGTGTAGATATCTTAGTCGTCTAAGTTTTTGTATTAGTCTGTGTCCCTTTATTAGCATGGGCTTTTCCCAAGCTACATGGTTCGACACAGAAATAAACTTTTTATCGTTATTTTTATAATTATTTCGTGCTGGTATAATGACCCAACCAGTTCTGGGTTTTCTCAATAACTCACTCACCTATAACAGACACACTTATGTTTTTAGCTTTGATTGTGAACCTTTTTGATCCTTTACTTTGTGTTATGGTACATCTGTATGTGCCACCGTCTTCAGGATGAACAAGATCAATGTGTAGACTGCCGCTAGGAATTTGAGCGAATCTTCTTCCATTAGGTACTAACTTTTCTCCTTGTTTCCCCCATGTTATCTGTGGAAGTGGTGTTCCTTCAGCACTACAGTTTATAATACCAGATGTGTAAGCAATAAGGCTCTGCTGGTCACGAGTGTTCTCAGTGAATCTTGCTGTTGGAATAAATGACGAAAAAAACCACTAACCGAAGCTGCATTGAAGAAATGCTAACTACTCTGTATTGTGTGCTCCTATTGTGTGTGCCGGGCACATTTACTTTTATGTTAACCTATTCTACAATGAGGCAATTAAGGTCTTCTAAATGCGTTGAAAAGGATTTTCCTACCATTGATGTAGACCGTGTAATACTGAACATATTCCTCTATGAGGCATTCATATGTTCCTCCATCAGACAACTGCACATTTTCTATGACCAGTTCACCATCTCCTTTGGTCTTGACCCTCTTGGAAGAAGAAGTGTTCCTTTGCACCTTTTGACCATTAATGAACCATCTCGCAAACCTGGTTTTGTTACGTATTGAGCAGTGAAGGATTTCATTGTTGCCGACATCAAAGTGAAGTTTCTCTTTTCCACATACCTTTCTGTTCTCTGAAAGAAATATTTTCATGTCGCACAATAATCAGTTCATTCTATCTCGGTATTTGGTATTAGTTTCAAAACTATTGGTACCTTGATCTTTCATGTTTAACTGTAAACACGTGACTATCCACGAGGACCAGTTACCTTTAGGAATTTCCATCTCGGCGTTATTAATGCCTTACTTACTTGGTTGACACCGTGCTTGGGAACCTTTGCCATCTCCTTGACATTGACCGGGGACATTTAACTTTCCATCACTGCGAGTGCAAGATGCAAGTTCATCCTCTGCTCCAGTGCAGGAAACATCCGCCATTACAGAAGTAGTGTTTCCATCCTCTACGTTGGAGCCAAAAAATTCAGCAAGAGCCTCTTCAAAGCCAAGTTGGCGACAAATAACTTGGGCATCATTGAGATCCCATCCATTGGTACAAATTTTTCCCCATTTCCCTTTGTAAAATACTTCCACTCTACCACCATACTCTACATTTGCACCACTCAAGCGAACGGGAACTTATAAAGTCACAAAATATTAAGCAATTAATGAAGGTAAGTTAACAGTGAATTAATAAAAGGAAGAAATATGGATAAGGGAAGGAAGGAGACAGTAGGATTATGAAGAAATTTAAAAGTTCAAGGTGTTCATACAGGATCAGAGATCCAATTCGGTTGTACGGGTTCTTTGATGGGCAGCTGTTCAGGTATCATTTTTGGGCATTTTTTACGCCTTCAACGATTTAAACTAATTCTCGAAAACAACCTAATTGTCAATATATGTCATATTTTTTAGAGAGCAGTCTTCGAGGAAACACTAGTACATAATCAATTACCCAAGCAAGAGGGGATGTTTTGGCGAGGTCTACCGCTCGAATTATGATCAAGTCTATAAGGGTACCTAGAATAGGATGTACAAAAGAGAAGATTGAAAGAGATCTGACAACAGATTCCAAAATGCATAATTGGTTAATACCTTTGCAGAGTTGCAGTTTGTTTGAGAAGCTTTCTTCACATTTAGTCAAAGTGGTGGTGCAGTTGAAATTGGTAGATGTCTCTGATACATTGCCACTGTCTTCAAACCATCTACCATAATCACTGCTGTTAGAGTATCCCATTGCCATGCATGTCAAATCTACTTCAACTTTACTCCACGTACTGGTGCAAAGCTTTTTCCAGCTGCTGTTTGTATGGATTTCCATTGTACCAAGCGATGGGTTGCTCTCCGTTCTAAAGCGTAGTGGAAATACTGATGAAAGAAATAATGCAAAAGTATATGTATATCTTGAGAGGCCCTCTTAAAGATTCTACAAATTTTAATTATTTTGCTGATGATTGCCCCAAATATGTACTTAATTTCAAATGTTTACCAATTCTAGGTGTGTTACAAACCTAATCATCAGCCCCAAATTAAATGGTTAATTGATACTGCTCACATAAGACATCCCATACTATTCTATCAAGAAACTAA